ACAGTACCGGTGAATCCACAGATGACACATTACAATGTTGTTGAGTACATTCATAGGTCGCCATCATTTATGTATGTTAACTCTTCGGTTACCAACCCCTATTGTAGCTCCATAAAACAAACACTTTGTAGCCTCCAAATAGATTGTGATAGCAGTGAAGAATCGAAAGGCCCATCTAATCAGCCTGTAATGAAATGTCGGACTGATCTGGATAATTAGTTTCTTCCTAATAGCGTGGTGTAAATTCGTTCTCTGATTTCTTTAGTACATACCACCAGGGTTCTACACAGATCTCTTTAGACAAGCTGCTGGGTGAGACCATTCCATACTAAATCCTGCGTGGAATACAAATGATGACAGCTGGGATCCAGTTTAGAATTTAGGGAGAGTCTCAAACTAACATTATGACAATGTGTGACATTCACGCTGGAGATAATTCTCCGATAGCAACAATCACAAAATAAGCTCACAATGTTTGTTGCCTCAATACAGAACAATGAGGAGTGGATGGTTATTTCTACATATTTTGTGTGATAATTGTAATGTGTGGAAATTAGGGTTAGGTGCTAGCAGGCTGAGATGTCTATGTATGTTTGTGTAGGTGATGTCTGTAATGTATGACAATATATGCCCATATTTATAATTAATTAAAGGATGGTTTCTTTATTGTCCTTATCCTATTCTGAATAGTCATGTTGTGAACGTTGTGTTTCTGAATTGTCTTGCTACAACCTGTATCGTCTAAATTGCTTCTCCAATCTGCTCTGCCTGCACTGTCCATTATTCGTGTGGATTCCTTCTCAGCCAAATTGCAGTTTGTCTGAATTTGGGCTGATCTGCAATTTCTGTAACTCAACGTTCCGTATGGACATAAAACTAAACAAATAAGTCACGCAATGGACAAGCATGTTCGTTTGAGTTCTGTCCGTGGTGCCAGAAAGATGACTTATGAGCAGGGGACAGTCACTAAATGTTGATTTTATTCACATATCTTGTGAGAAGAGATCAATAGAGGGAATATAAGGAGGGGAAGTAAAACAAAATCAATATTAAAATAATTATATATTTATAAATATCGGGGGGTTTTTTAACGCTCCTCATGTTTTTTCCCACTTGATCTTTGAACCTAATGGAGGGTAAATGCTTAGTGCACTGAATGTAATATTATATTATGTAGATTGGATTAGCCATATTAGTCCAATAAAAACTATGAAAAATTAACCAGATTTATTGCAGTATGATACCTTTTTATTGAACTAACAGAATATAATAATTCCTCTCCAAAGCTTTAAACTAAATGTTTTATATTATGTATATATTTAGCAATACACTGATTGGCCCATTTTTGAGCCAATTTGGTTCATCTGTATCACATTGCCAAATCTTTTAAACGGGGCGATATTTGTACAGGACAAAGCACATTTTATTTTCTGACATTCAGCCTAACCAAAAACTTTTCCAATGTGCACAAGTCTTCTGTCCAACTCGTACTAAGTCTTGATCCTTTCCCCTCTGGTGCTGTACCGTGCATGCGCTGAGATTTTGCTTTTGGATAAAGTAGTCCGAGAATTCCGCACAATCACTGTCAATATGAAGGCATTTTACAACAAGACAGATATTTCTTCATTTATTCCGACAGTCAGCTAAATCAAGATTCGCCTCACTAACACCCATGTCACATCTCAAAGGTTAGAAACAGCCTTGGGAAATGATAAGCATACCATCTTCTCTGCTTACAAAAATGACTGAAGTCCTTTAAGGATAAACGTAACCTCTCTGCTGCTGACAAGCACACATCATGAACGCCACCTTCAGCTTACAAGTTCCACACCGTACACATCGCCAAACAATACATTTCTGCATTATGAGACATGTTCAGACTTATCTCAATGACTACGGTTGAACCAAACAAAAATGGCCATAGCAGTGAGGTTTAACCACATTTAGCCTGAAAGGTAAACCCAGAAAAATGGCTCAATAACAAAAGTTGTGATTGTTGGATGGTGAACTTATCCCGTCACTCATAGAGGGAGCACAGAGAGGATCCTGTCTGGTAGAACTAGCTCAGTTTCAATCTCTGCCCATATATGGATTCCCATGAAAAAAAGGATATTTTAGATGGCCCAGATCTCTTCATAAAAATAATTATTTAAGTCAGCTGCTGATTCAGTTACAGTTTTATTTACTAACCTAAGAATTGCAAATTTTAAGCCGAAGTTCCGATCTGCTAAAAAAGCTGACCTGGAGAAATTCTCTATAACTCCCAAAGACGTCAATAAATCCCAGTGTGTTAGAGCTAAACAGCCCCCTCGGGGAGAAATTCGCTATTTAAAACATAGGTTTCATTGTTATTAATGGGTTATAGTCGGTCAGAATAATATCCCATCCTGATAGCAGAAACACTGGACCAATAACTCGGGGAAGAGTGCTAAATGGGGTTTATCATGGTAAAAACAGGCACCATTCTGGGGCAGTCACCATGGGAACTGATAGATTGTCTCTATTGATTTTTAGACGTTTAGCAGTTTCCCTCCAAATATTAGTGCTGTCTCAAAAATCAAACCAATAAATAAAATTAATGTGATGAAACAGTGAATGAAAATACCCACCGTGTTATTTATGGAATATTTAATAAAATAATCAGAGAATGTTTGGGGTGTTTAAAGTTTGTGTGTCCAACAGAGACAGTTTGAAAGCACTAGCTCCAAACACAGATACATTTTATCCAAGAAGTTGGCTTCAAAATGCATGATCTACCTTCCTTCCACTGACTCATCTGTTTAGACCACTAGTGTCCAATACCACCCCTTAAAGTCTAGTTCTTAAACAACAGAGACGTCTGGGAATTGTAACGGTACAACTCCTATAGGTGGACACGCCCTGGTTTACACGAGTGGTTTTAAACCTCGGGGTGGTGACACAGCAGGGCCAAAATGCTCCCATTATGATCACCATGTCCCAGGTAACTACTTCCGATACATAGCTTATTGTAGCAGCACTGCTTTCCCCAGAGTGTTAGTAAAAGTATATGCTTTATGTGATTTCCCCGGCGTACGCAACCTTTTTGTTTTTGATTTTAACATTTGCAGATGGCTTAGAACACGTTACCATTTGGGTATAAACGTAACAGAAAATAAGACATAAGTTGGGACCAATGTTCTACACTTCCCTTTTTTTCAGCATAGTATAATGAATATACTTCCATAATGCACTTTGGTATCTGTACAATAAGTTCTGGGTGTCTGCCAATACAAATGGTAAAAACCAATATTGCAATTCTCCTGTGATGACAGCCCAATGGAAGCGTTTTGTAGGAAATTGCTTTGCAATCATTAATATTCTGTAGAGGGAGAGAGAAAGAGCTAGCCTGTATTGCCGCTGACCCCTATTGAGTAAGGGTCTTTAAATGCTTCAAATTGTCGAAACACAGAGAGCTCCCCTACAGCTGCAATCATTGTGAAAGCAGGAGTACACCGCTCTGCTTCCGTCTTTACGAACGATTTGGGGTAATTTCTTAGAAAAGGAAAATATCAGATGTTAACTTATTACAGACACAGGAAAAAACAAGAATGAAAATGAATAAGTATTTTCATTTTTTGTTGTTTTATTTAAAGATTTCCTTCCTGCTTACATGTTCTGTAGAGTATAGATTGTAAGCTCTTTGGTCCGGCCATTTAAAGTTTTTTTTTGTGCCTGGACAGGATGTAATATAGAAACAAACCACATACTACTATGTGATCAAATATTTATATAAAAAACTTTATACCGCCCACTCAGAGGTCTTTTGCTTCATTGTGCATTTAGCCCATTTACTGGATTGTATCAATATATATATATATATAAATACAAAGAGGTTGTGGTGGGGAAAAATTGTGGTTGAAAACCCCTTCCCCCTGAAGTCTGTGGATAGTTAATACAATGTTAAACAAAAATCTGCACACCAGTCAAGCCATAAGACTTGTTTTTTCCACAGAAATCCCAAATCTGCAGTGATGTTACAACCACAAAGGATTCTGGGTGGGCATATGCAAATTAGTTTAACAAAGAATTACATTTTTGCCTCATTCCATTTTAAACATGGATTCCTTTTAAACTGTGTTTGCAGTATACAACTGCTTGGAACACAATTTAGGAAAAGATGCAAAACCAGTGAACCACTCATGGACAGCTGTTTCGTTGTTAATGCAACTCTTCAGCATGAGGTTGGTTACTGGTTTGCTTACTGAGGCTTGGTAGTGCTCCCGTGCTGCAGAGGAGAGGCTTTCTGAGCAACAGTTATCCCAGGACACTGCACTCCAGATAATCATACCAACCCCATCCCCAGCACAGTGCTCAGCCCCTGGAGCCCAGGATGAAAGGCTGTCATCCTCTGCCTGGGCTACATACTGCTGCTGGTACTTACCATGCTAAACCTCATGGGCAAATGGCACAAAGAGCCCCAGCAATGCAGTGACCAATTGCGGTACACCCCCTACCAGACACGCTCAGATATCCGCTAACCGCAACTATGCGTATGTACTAAAGTTGAAACAGCTGGGAAATGTGAGTGGAGCAGGGTTTCGAATCTGCTAGGTTTGGAAAGGGCTGTGAAATGCTGGTACTTTGAATCACTTTTCAATTCATTTACACATGGTTTTAGGCCTTGGTGCAAAGTCACATTTACAGAATTTCCAACATGTAGGGTTATTTACTAAACTCTGGATTGTAATGCATTGCAACCCAAACAGGCAGAAATAAACAAGCTTTATGTACCGGCCCTCCCCTCCAGGGAAGAGGCAGCTGGTCTATGTGTTCACCACCTGTTTTTTGGGGGGGGCGGGGGGAGCTCTTAAGCAAAAAAATAAAATAAATAAATAAAATTAAATAAAAAGGGAAATAACAAAATAAAATATATAATTAAAAATAATTAAATAAAAAAATCAGATAGTATAAGTTATGAGACAAAAAAAATAAAAAATTGAAATATATAAATAGAAGATACCCGGTGTATCGCATTCGGGTTTCTTTTTTATTGCTACCAATAGAATTTAATAAACATTAGGCAGTAAGTCTGGATCCTGCAGAATACAGTGTGATGTAAGGCATTTGAAGGCAACGTTGAAAAAAAAAAAAAGCTTGTTCTGTATGAAAAAGCAGAAGCTCATGTCCTTTTACATCCAAGCAGCCTCCCAAGTTCTTAGCTGGTGGTTTCTCATCTCCCCATGGTGAGCATTGGACTATTTGATCCGGTAGAGAACTTTACGCTGCAGACGATGCTGTATTTCGCCACGCCTCATCATCAAATGCAGAACTTTGTGGATTGCATGCTCAGGGTATTTCTGTTTTAGGAAGTCCTGGATGATGCTGTGCTCAGACACTTGTGAGCCAATTGCAAATCTTCTTTTCAGCTGCTTCTCAACACGCGATAGCATCTCCTGGTCCTCTTGGGTAGTGAATCCTTCCACTCCAGACAAGCTTCCAGACATGGCGGCATCCAGAGTGGACACCTGGAAAAGACGAAGCGCCTCTTCAACATCAGTCTCTGTGGCAAATGGCTGTAATTTCATCTTACTGAGAGACTCCGCAATTCTCACAATGGCTTCCAATTGTCGGACAGTAATTGGTATGCTGGACCTCTTCTCACTCTCACGCTCGTGTTCACGGGCTCCACTACGCATAAGAACATAGCGGTTTTTTAGTTTCTCTGCCGACTCCGCTGAAAGTCTTGGGCCACATTTCATTCGACAATAAGCAATGTACTTCTTCAGAGTACTAAGCTCTATTTCACCCTCCACAGCATTCATCTGTGTCCGTGCACTCAGATGTACATTCATCACGTGCTTGGCCAATGTCATGTCTCTTTGTTCATTATGCTCATCCTTCACTATGAAGATCATATCAAATCGTGAGAGGATGGTGGGCATGAAGTCAATGTTCTCCTCTCCTTTTGTATCATCCCATCTTCCATAGACAGAGTTTGCGGCTGCCAGCACCGAGCACCGTGAATTCAGGGTTGTGGTGATGCCAGCCTTGGCAATTGAGATAGTCTGCTGTTCCATGGCCTCATGGATAGCAACTCTGTCATCCTCACGCATCTTATCAAACTCGTCAATGCAAACCACACCTCCATCAGCAAGAACCATGGCTCCTCCTTCCATAATAAAGTTACGGGATACCGGATCCCGCATGACAGACGCAGTTAGACCAGCTGCACTGCTCCCCTTCCCTGAGGTGTAAACCCCTATAGGAGAACATCTCTCTACAAATTTCAGAAGCTGAGATTTAGCTGTGCCGGGATCTCCCAGCATCAAAAGGTTGATGTCCCCCCTACGTGTAAGTCCGTCAGGAAGCCGCTTGCGGGACCCACCAAACAGCAGGCAGGCAATAGCTTTTTTAATATCACTGCTTCCATATATGGAGGGTGCAATGCTCTTAGCAACTGTATCATAGATCCGAGGCTTTGATGCCAAGCGCCGAAACTCTTCTTCCTCCTGAGGAGTTACAGCACCGACTGCACTTCTCCCTGTACCTTCCGTATCCACCTGAATACCGACCACCCTTATATAAGAGCTGCGAATTCCAACACCCACGCGGTCTCTTCCTTTGGTGGATGTTTTGCCACTCTTACGAATTGAGTAAATACCAACAATAGTCACTCTGTTTCCAGGAACAACCTTGTCACAAAGGTACCTGTCACAGTACAGTTGCATATGACGTGGCAGCTCCCCATGGGGCACAGCATCCGGCGACTCTTGCAGCTTCAATGTCTGGAAGTCCACACACTTACATCTGTCTGGGATGATAAAGTAAGGATCTAGCGGACACTTGGGGCGTCCGGTCTGCTCAGAATTGCACTTGCGCGGCATGGCATAGCCCTCTAAACCAGGTCGCACAGATATATTGCTGATCGTATTTCTACAGCTTCGACACTGGATAGAAATCTTGGTGGCTTTTGCTCTCACAGCAGTAGCAGAAATGATAATCCCTGGGATCTTCACAAGGTGAGACATTTGTTCTGACTTGAGGCTGCGGATGTTGGCAGGGTTGGCATCAGAGCGTAGCATGACCTGGATTTCCTGAACAGTCTCTTCACCAGGAGGTCTAGGACGAGTCACTTCATCTGCAACTTCTTGGGCTGCTTCTTCCAACAGATGCAGATGCTCTGTGGGCTGTTTGTGTAGATACTCTGACAGTTCCTCATCGAAGCTGGCCAGATCCTCCAGCTCCACCTCGATCCAGTATTCTCCCAGGTTATAGCGGCGCTTCAGCTCATCTCGGTATTTGAATGTGAAGCCGGTGCGGTCGGTTCCCACCCGGTACTGCCGGAGGAATTCCCGGAAGCGTTTCTTGAGCTGGGCTTTGTTGTTGTGCCCGTCCTCCCCGGGCTGTGTGTCTCCGCCGCCGCCCCCGAAGCTGTCACTGTAGAAGAGGCCGGGGTCATCGAATCCAGACATGGCGGCTCGCTCGCGCTCACTGACTAACGGACAGCGACTCATTCGGGTTTCTTTTACTGCTATGTCAATGCGCGATCTTAAGCTGAATAATTACCGTTATAGAACGGTTTTCGGTCTCGTTGCGGAGTCAGACCTGCATTTCACTTCGCCTTACTCGTGCTACATTATTTTCTGGACGGAACAATATGTGTTTTGTTCCCGGGCCCACAATCTGGCCCTCGTTAGCCCGTTGGGCTATACACACATAAGCGCATTCTATTTCCTTTTTTTTTTATATGCATACAGCCTGACCACCCAGACTCCGACGGTCTCCTCACTCTGCCCTCCAGTTATGGTCGGCCTTACGATTTTCCTCATACCCCCCTCCTTCATTTTCATCACACGGTACGTTCCCCTCTCCCACTCATTACCCTCCCCTCTTAGTTAGCTGTGGCTGGCTGTCAGGGTCCCAGGTGTCCACTAGTTGTTATTTTCCCCATGGCTTCTTCACCTTAGGTTAGTGGTCCCGCGAGGCCAACACCCATCCTCATTCTCGGAGGTACCACGCCTCTCGGGCCAAATCATAGTTAGTCGCCTCGCATTGTGCCATAGAGAGGGCCTCACCTGTCACTCCCATTCTATCTTATGTTTAACTGTCACCGAGAGGCCAACACCCCACCACCACATTCAGAGCCTCTCACGCCGCTTGGCATCTAGCAGGGCCTCACCTGTCACCAAACCTAGTTTTAATTGTTTTGCCTTTTTGGCATTAGCTAGTATGCCAGCTCGCACACACACTTTCACACACACGCACACTTAGGGTTGCTTATGTGCTGTTTCTTCGTCTCTTTTTCTAGCAGGTCTCCGCTGCGAGGCGATTGGCATGTTTTTTTCCATCCGGGCTCTCTGGCTAGGTCTGGTACTCATCACGCTGTGGAGTTTTGGCTACTCCTACCTTCTTTTCGTGTCCCGGTCTCTTCCTCGCTTCGTTGCAGTTCTCGCGAGTCAACTTCTTCCCTCCCCGGCAGCTTTTCGGACAGCTGAACTCTCAGTGTCTGCCCGCCTCCACGGGTAACGCGGTTTGCTGGAGGGGGCCCCGAGTTCGCTCTTACTTCTCCGTTGTTTGCCCCCTGTTTGTCTTTCACTACTGTTGACTATGGGGTGTTTTCGGATGGCAGTTTGAGTAATTGGCGTCTGCCGCTCTGGCTGGCTCAGAGCCGGACTTCCTGCACCTTTTTCATACGATCTGTCCTGTGCCTCTCCTACGCTTTCCACATAGCTCTACCTACGGCCTCTCCCGTTGCCGCTGCCGTTTCCCTGCGTTTCGGGGTCTGCTCGCGGCACCTATTTACTCGCTCGGCATTTACCATACAGCTAGGCTATTAAGGTTTTGTTGATTGTTTTACGTATCTGGCAGGTATCTATTTTTGCCCTCTTTTATTACAGGCCTACCAGGACGTTGGTTCCGGCACACCTCAACCGACTTATTTCCCCCCTTACTTCCTATACGGCCTTATTTGCCCCTCACACAAATGTAAAGGCTTGGCCTGCAGTTGTGGGAGAAGCATGTTACCCTACTTAAATCCCCTACTCACCTTCCTCCGTCCCGTACATATCTTTAGCGATTTGCAGGTCCCCACCTTCCACTCCCTCTATTTATACTTTTCACTACACCTCTTGGGTGGGCCCTCTTTTATTACAGGCCTACCACGACGTCGGTTCCGGCACACCTCAACCGACTTATTTCCCCCTTTACTTCCTATATGGCCTTATTTGCCCCTCACACAACCCCTCTTATTGTGGGTTACACAGCTCTGAAACAGCTTCTACCTGATTTCAGATCAGAGGACTGCCTGCATATCAGAGCAAACAGAAGATATAGCTCTTTGACTAAACAGTCTTCCAACAGACAAACAGATTGTAAGATACACAGACAGCTCAATGGATAGATAAACAGACAGACAGATTTATAGAACGATGTATAGAAAGGTCGACAGATATAGATTGGCAGACAGACAAACCGATAAATAGACAGACAGACAGATCGATAGATAGGTAGAAACATAAATAGATAGATAGACAGACATATCGATAGATAAATATATAGATAGATAGACAGACAGTTAGAAAGATAAATAGATATATATATATATATAGATAGTTGATATATAGATTATAGATAGTTAGATAGATATACAGTTAGATAAATAGATATACAGTTAGATAGATAGATAGATAGATAGATAGTTGATAGATTATAGATAGATAGATTGTAGATGGATAGATAAATAGATAGATACGTAGATAGATAGATAGATAATTAGATAGATAGATAGATCCGTAGATAGATAGATAGATAGATAGATAGATAATTAGATAGATAGATAGATAGATAGACAGGCAGACAAACTGAGTGGGATAAGCAAGCAAGACACACAGTCCTGTGCATGGCTCCTGCGTGGCAGCTCCTATTTTGCCGTGATTCTAGATAGTTTTATACCAGACAGAAACCAGCCACCTGCTACTAAGTCAAGAAATCAATTCTAACTTACATTGATCGAAATGCATCATTAACAGTAAAAGATAAAATAAAACATAAAAAAAACCTTGAACACAACAAATAGACAATTTAGTGATGCTCTGATGATTCACGTGAAGCCCGGATTAAGCCAGAATTATCAGTGGTGGCAGATGAGGGATTGATTGAGACAAATGGGTCATAAATCATCATTTTGAGATGTAATAGTATGCAGAGATTTGGGCTAAAAAAAAAATTTTCTGTAAAAAAACACAAAAAAAAATAAACGTAACCACTTCTTTGCCATCGGGACATGAATGCTGACCCTGATCAAATTGAATGTATTAGACTGAAGAATGTGGTGGTGATGAACAGGGAGTTATTGTGGCCAGACTACTGAGATTAATTTTATAGCTAAGCATAACATATCTGATCTGCACAGGAGGGTCACAGTGGGTGGGAATCCATGGAAACAGCCACCCAAATATGTGCATTTGTTGAACGAACTAGCCGCCCCCTTTCTGCCATCTTCCAAGGCTGGTGATGCATAGAATGTTACCCTTGGAGGAATGCCCCCCATTCTCTGCACGCTGACCACTGGAGGCTTGCCCCCCATTCTCTTCACGCAGATCCTTTGAGGCTTGCCCCCCATTCTCTTCACGCAGACCCTTCGAGGCTTGCCCCCCATTCTCTTCACGCAGACCCCTGGAGGCTTGCCCCCCATTCTCTTCACGCAGACCCCTGGAGGCTTGCCCCCCATTCTCTGCACGCTGACCCCTGGAGGCTTGATTCTCTGCTTGCTGACCCTGGAGGCTTGCCCCATTCTCTGCATGCTGAGCCCTGGAGCTTGCCCAACATTCTCTGCATGCTGACCCTGGAGGCTTGTCCAACATTCTCTGCGCTGAGCCCTGGAGGCTTGTCCAACATTCTCTGCACGCTGAGCCCTGGAGGCTTGCCCCCATTCTCTGCACGCTGAGCCCTGGGCTCTGCCCAACATTCTCTGCACGCTGAGCCCTGGAGTCTTGTCCAACATTCTCTGCACGCTGAGCCCTGGAGTCTTGTCCAACATTCTCTGCACGCTGAGCCCTGGAGACTTGTCCCCTATTCTCTGCACGCTGAGCCCTGGAGGCTTGCCCAACATTCTCTGCATGCTGACCCCTGGAGACTTGCCCTCCATTCTCTGCACGCTGACCCCTGGAGACTTGTCCAACATTCTCTGCATGCTGAGCCCTGGAGGCTTGTCCAACATTCTCTGCACGCTGAGCCCTGGAGGCTTGCCCCCCATTCTCTGCACGCTGAGCCCTGGAGGCTTGCCCAACATTCTCTGCATGCTGAGCCCTGGAGTCTTGTCCAACATTCTCTGCACGCTGAGCCCTGGAGTCTTGTCCAACATTCTCTGCACGCTGAGCCCTGGAGACTTGTCCCCTATTCTCTGCACGCTGAGCCCTGGAGGCTTGCCCAACATTCTCTGCATGCTGACCCCTGGAGACTTGCCCTCCATTCTCTGCACGCTGACCCCTGGAGACTTGCCCCCCCATTCTCTGCACGCTGACCCCTGGAGACTTGCCCTCCATTCTCTGCACGCTGAGCCCTGGAGACTTGCCCCCTATTCTTTGCACGCTGACCCCTGGAGACTTGCCCTATATTCTCTGCATGCTGGCTCCTGGGGGTTGACCCCCATTCTCTGCCTGCTGTCCCCTGTGGGCTTGCCCCAATTCTCTGCACGCTGACCCCTGTGGGCCTCCCTCCTCATTCTACATTTATAACATCCAGTGTTGGGAAGTATGTAATCAGGAGTAATGATTCACTCTCTGTCCCAATATTGAGAATGTCCTTCCAGTTTGAGACAGTTGGGGTGTAAACGACAAAGGAGAGTTTAAAAAAACAATGTCTAACAAGGCTGAATTGAAGATGTTTCCACTGCATCTACTGTCTCAGATACCTGCGCTCTATAAAACACTGTTTAGCGGATAGGGCCCTCACAATCATTTATCAGAAACATTAATTGATTTGAGGAAGCAAGAGCCACTTGCAGCAAAAACACATTTTTCTTTTCAATTTTCAAGCCTTTATCTCTGGTAGCTTATTTAATTGCAAATGTGCTCTGTGATATGCTCGGAGTAACTGTAACCTATGTAGAACTTTGACAGGCAATTTGTAAATCACGCCTGAATAAAATCAATCAATGAAATGTTTGATCTGAATGGATTTATGTGTATATGATGTCCACCTTATACCGTACGGACCACTGCGCATAAAGAGGAGCAAAATGGCTTTTAGCAGGTTTTAACACACACTTTAAACAATAAAGCAATCATAGGGACACACTCACAGTCACACACACAGTCACACACAGTCACACACAGACACACACACAGTCACACACAGTCACACACAGACACACACAGTCACACACAGACACACTCACACACAGTCACACACAGTCACACACAGTCACACACAGTCACACACAGTCACACACAGACACACACAGTCACACACAGACACACTCACACACAGTCACACACAGTCACACACAGTC